AAAGGGCATTGATTAAAATTGGTGCCTTTCTTTTTTATGGCGGCAGTCGATGATTTATGGAAAATATTATCTAGAATTACATTACAAACGAAATTGTCTATGGGCTTATATATGGAAATCTCAGTCTGGACTGAGTTATGAGCGTTGAAAGGAGCTGGAGTCAAATATTTTACTTCGGTTTTTTATTCAAATTATTCATATTTTTGTCACAATTCCTAACTTCAAATTGCGCGCCACTGTATTCCGGGCACAGGAAAACCATATCACACCAAAATATATTCATATTACCAGGCACTAATTTTTATTACCTATTTGCTCTCAGTCGATAACTTGTGGGATGCTTCTAAGAGTTGTGTCATGAAGCTTCATGAGCGTCTGCTGTGATACCAGTGGTGGGTTGAGTAGTGGTAGCCGTCCAAACATCTAATAAAGTATTTTTTTTTTGCCATTGACTTCTGGTGGGAGACTCGTCTACTTTATAGTTAACATAATATTTTAAAGAAAGGAAACCGTCGACTTTTAAAGTAATCAGCGCTACTCAATCCGCTACCAACGCTGACAAACATAACATTTCATGATAGGGCTCAGTAAAGTATTTTGCGGGTTTTCGACTGAGAGGAAATTGATCATGAAAATCTGTCATAGGCCATAAACCGTATACATATAAAGTGAATGCGCTAGCCAATCAAGCGAAATTTTTTTTTACTTAAGCAGTAGCCAGTTAATGGTTCACTCTGTTCTGGTTCCGTGGCCGTAAGGCCAAACACAAAAAATAAAAAATAATAATAATAAAATAGTATACAATAAGCGTTATTACATTCCTTGAAATCGTTTATAATCATTTATTAAAAAATATTTCTGACAAGTAAATGAAGTTAAATGCGTTGTGTACTATCACCATCAACAAATAACAGGAATAATATAGCACTATTTTCACATCTTTGAACTGATTTAACTCGGTTCGGACTGTGTTTTTGATATAAGACCCCATATATTTTTTTGTCTGTAATGTTATTCTGCATCAGTTTTGCCACATCCGATCAACTGCCGCGAAAAAATGAAAAGGCACCACGCTCCATACAAATTTGGTCATTGTCATTTGTTATTCAATTGTATAGTTTTTTTTTTTGTTAATTTTGTTTCTGATTTGTATTAATTTTTATTTCTTACATTTAATTACCTAATTAGTTTGATTTTAAGTACCGAAATAATAGTATTTATATAAGATTAACAGTATAACTTAACTCGTCGAGTACCGGTTTTGTAGACACAATTATAGAACAATAGGTTGCGGTCACCGGTGACCGCTTGGTGTTTGACAGTTTAATGGCGAAAGCTGTAGTGTTATATATGTAAATTTTCTAAAATAAATAAATGCAGTCAATACGCGACTGCCGTACAGTTAAAAGTTTAATGGCGTTACAGTTGAATGTTTTCAAAGGAACGCGAGTACAACTTACAACTTGAGATGAATCTAAATCCCATATCTAGGAGCTGAGACATCCGCGTGGTATAGCTTTCTTCTTTGAGTGTTAGTGTCAACCCATACCACGCATAACACACAGGGTGTGGTTCACAAGTAGAATTGACTTCTACTACTCAATCCATAGGAAAATAACAGGCGTGATAATTTACATTTACGTAATGTAGGGATCCACCGTAAAATTCAGGCTTGCACAACGCGAAAGTGCAACAGCGCATGCCCTTATCGATCGCCCCGGTTAGAACAAAACTGTGCCCCGCGCCCCGCGCCTCTCTCTGTCCCAGCCGGCCTCGCCCCGCGTTGCAACCGTCTCTCGTTAGTCGCCAGGGGTTCGAGCATGCGACCGGTCGAGTGCTGCGGTCTGTCATTAATGTCGCGTTTTGTTAATTCACTTATCTAGTGCTGCTAGTAGTTCAGTTGAATGTCGTTACTTCAAGTTCTTCGTATTAAAATACTTCCGAGTGATATCACCGTGAGTATTGCCTATAATTTTTAACCTCTTTCGTAGGTTCTTAATGTATGAGTTCGTCCTATTAAACATAACATCACGCCTTTAATCCCCGAAGGGGTAGGCAGAGGTGCACATTACGGCACATAATGCCACTTTGCCATATACCGAGCACAATTCCAGACTTCGTGCTGCTACTGAGATTATTTTTTAAAAAACCTAGTAATATTTTGCCTGACCCGGGATACCAACCCGAGATCCTTTGCCCGGCAAAGGCGGCCCTTTGGCTGACATGACATGGGACTCATAACATAAACAGTGAAATGTGGGTATTACATTTTACAGTAGCATAATGTGCACCTCTGCCTACCCATTGAGGGATAAAAGGCGTGATATGTTATGTTATTACATTATTATGTGAACAGTTATATTGTTTTTAACGTAGTGCACATATTATATCAGTCTAGCATTTCTGTCTCAGCCCTCGACAATATCGCAGGCGTTATATTACAGCATGTACAGATAATTGATTTGCCATTCTGAAACTTTCCGCGCTGCGCATTGCGCCGCTCACCTGAAAGTTGCAACGCGCATGCGTTATCGATTGGCTCGTTGATACAGAACGTTTTTGTTGTTTGGTTGCCTACAACTGACTGAGATTTATTCATAAGTTGTGAAATTGTTTAGTCGTTCAGGCATATAACTTAATTTGTTAATTGTTTTTGAATTTTGATAGAAGTGATAGAGATCAAGTTACTAAAATGTTTGTTATTGTAGGCATACGTCGATGATCAAATGTTTACGAATTAACCTAATGCTTTATTTGGTACAAGAAGTACAGCTTGTACAAGAAGTATCAGGTTGCACATTATTGTACCTCTAAGTACTTAATATCACAATGCTGTTATACGGAACGGTGGTGCACGGTGCAGTAACATAAAAGTTCCAAGTAACCACAAATTGATTCACATATAGTGATCTTCGGAATAACTGATAATTCAGCCAGTTAGTTATACATATGTATATATGGTGTGCTTAAACCCTTCGATGAATGTTGCGCTTGTATGTCAAAATATACTTAAATACTGTTTTCTTCTTTCCAGATGACTCTTCTGTCTAAACTTCGTCCGACTGAAGAGGAAACTCTTCTTCAGTCAAATGAAGTTACGTTTCAGCTCAATCCACTATCTTCTGTACCTCTATAGTAAGTATCTCTTTAAGTTATTGATTTGTTGTAAATGAAAAATACTGACCTAATATTTTCTGTTAATCAACAAGACGGATATTAAAGAACAATGGGTAATTTTGTATGGAACCGTTGGGTACGGGTACTACAAGCTGGATAGCTTGTAGCATTTCAGACTAGGCATTTAGAAGAAGCATAATTGGCCAACACAAAAAATGATGATCGAATGAATAAATGGGAGACCGAAATTATGATAACTTATTTATTGGACTTTAAATTGCCAAGTAATGTTATAATAGCACCGTTTCTGTTCTGTAGACCATATAAATAACCAGAAGTTTGTTTTTAAAACTAAAACTAAACCCACAAATGTGAACCTCCTCCTTCTTTAAAGTCAGCTAAAACAGTTTTATTAAAAAAATATTAACATAAAACCGCATTAAAATCATGAAGCGAAACAGTGGCCAAATTCATACCAATTAAAAAAAATCGGTTCAAGTGGAATAATGAGAACCGGGCCCGGGTATTAGATATCGATATCGTCACAATTGGCAACGTTTTTCAAATAACTGCATGTATCTAAAAGAGTGATATTTTAGGTAGATGCAGTTATCGCTGCGATAACATAACATAACATAGTTGTTATCGCAGCAGTGAGGGTCTGCGGACGGTGAGCAAGGGTAGCTTGCCGCCCGACCAGAACCAGACTGCACGGGTCCTGTTCTGGTCGGTACGGCGCGTCACGTTCCCTTGTTGTAACTGCAACTGTTAAATTAATACGAGTTTAAATTCGTTGAACAATCTCGATGTACAAATCTATTAGTTTCAATATTTGTTGGGAAACATTGATTCGAAATATTGTAATATTATTTGCAGGTAATACTACTTCTGCTAACTGTTCTGCACTCGCTTTTTCGAACCACCTGGCGACTCACTAAAAATCGAGATATCTCTGTTACGTAAGTATTTTTTAATTTTTTTTTTTGACTCTTAATATATTATTGTTAGTTAACTTAAAACTGTCATAGAATTCACCTTACTCTTTGATATTAGAAACTTATTGGATTTTAGAAACTCAGAAGGCAGGATAAATATAGAGTACCACCATTACAATGTACTTCACCTCTATATTGTTAACATCGAAATCAAATTTAATTACAAAATCAGGACTAGCTAAATCATAACTATTAATTGAAAAGCAAAACATAAATAGGCAAATTGACTTTCAAATACATTAAAATTCTCTCAACACTAAATAACTTCCGAGTTCCCGCCATCTTGACTTTTTCGTTTTTCGAACCACAGATTACATTTTCCCGCTACGCGATGACGTTTTGTTTTTTTGTCTATACTTCGAACATTATGATAACTTACCTTTTAACATGAATATCAAAGTACTTTAGAAATGAGAGTAACATTTCCAACAACGCATTTTGGCAAAATAAAGCTGTCTAAATTGAGGTAGGTAGGTATACCTATGTGTAAGTACAATTTGTCACATGTCAGATTTTTTCATTATTATTTTGCTTTTCAAACAAATCCACTACTGCCTCGATAGTCTAGTGATCACAAATCTAACTACCGAGTAAAGGGTATCAATGTCAACCCCCAGGTCAAGAAAGTATTATTGGGGTTCTTGACATTATACAAATACTCAGATACGGCAACAGGCTAAGGCGTACCTTTATAACGGACTCATAGCATTACAAATTAATAATGGGGCTAAACCATTACATAAACTTTTCATTGTTTCAGATGTCGACTTGATCGTACCATGGAGCCTTCGAATCAACAGAACATCTTAACATCAAACAATAAAGCAAAATTAATACAATGTCATAATGGTCTAAATAGAAGATTATCTTCCTCTCATGTATTACCTAACAGTTCTTACTTCTCTGGAAAAAATCTTGACCAGTCTTCAACTCTCGACTAATGCCATCAAAATAAATCATCAAATAACGAAGATGTTGCTTTCGAACCATCACAGAATAAGACGCGAAGAATTATATTGAGAAAATATCAAACGGAAACTGATAAGACACAGAAAGCCACAATAATGAACGAGTAGCGATCAAAATGGCATGCGAGCATTCTCTATTGTGAAAGGTATATCGGCGAATAAACCACATTTTAGTTTTTGTTGAATGTTGTTACTAGCTAAATCGTTATTTTGCCGTGTGGGACCCGGTTTATAGAATAGGTCCACCCCTCGCAACCTAAGGGTGTCGTAAAAGGCGACTAAGGGTAAAAGAGAAAGGAAAGAATGATGGAGATGAAAACAAAGCAAGTAAACAACATCAATCACAAGATCTTTAAAATGTATGTGACTACATCTACATAGGACGAAGGATTACGAAGAACAACATTTTGATATGGCGCACATACTCAAGCGCTGCCGTGATGTGTTTGTGTGTACTAAGTTAAGCGTGTTCAGTTAGTCTAGTTCATAACAACTGAAGTTAGACCTACGCGACGATACCATTATGCCACTTACTACCAGAAAACATCGAAACTTCGAGATCAAAGACTCGAGACACCGAAGACATCACAGGTCAGTAATGGTACCAGTGTAATATATTAACTTGTGATATTTGTGACTCTAAATGTCATGCATTGATCTAGTTTTCGAAGTTAGTTTAAAAAGGCAACATCCTGGAAATTGTTTAGAATGTATAACCCTGTCACGTTATAGCTAACGCTACATAGATTTACAAAAATGTAGAGCATTGGTTACACACAATAACATTATTAATAGAATATATCAGATAATCAAGAAGTACCTAAATAGTGTCATAATTTTTTTATTGCAAAATTAACTTTAATTAAATAAATTTCAACTATCCACTTCTTGCTTAAGAATATGTACATTTCATTATTGAACCGTATCCAGGAAAAGCATTTTAATAAACTTACAACATAGCGTAATGTATAAATTTTTTGAAATTTTTAGTAATAATTGAGTATAAAAAAATAGGCTTTGAAAAGATTTTATGGTTACATTATTATTCCAGATAGGAAATTAATTTGACATTACTCGTGATAGGGTTACGGCATGGTAACAAAACACCACAATTTGTTACAAGATTCAAATACTATAATATGTTACGTCTTTCATAAATTAAAATTATAAAAATGTTAATGAAGTTAATCTATGAATAAATTAATATAACAGTGTGACAAAATATAAAAAAACGTACAAAAAAAATAAAAAAGCGCACGTTGAACTGGACCCTTCTTAGCTCATGAATATAAATACTCGTACGGTTAAGAAAACACATGTCTTCCAATAGAACCGCCTGCGAGATGCCATTATTAAAGAAAAAGTCTGGTATATAAATTACATTTTCCTATCAAAATTACAAATTTTCACAATTGGCTGGCTTTGACAGTCTAAATTATGACTGTATGTCTAAAAAACCACATTCACCTTACTTCAAGTTCATATTGATGTTGAGAAGAACAGAGTTTTATATATTACGATTGTTACAGTTTTTCACAAGTGCCTACCCCGCCACATTTTCGGCGCCTATAATAATCATTTCAATTTTTGTTTTTTATAAACACAACTTAAGAGCTAAGAAAGGTGGTTGGTTCATCGGTATAAAACAATTTTTCCATTGATAGCCAACGTATTCTACATCATTCATCATTTGGTTCAATTTTTATAAATGCATAATTTCATATTGACGTTAGAATTCAAGATCACATAAGTAACACACCCATGTGTATTGCAACATCAAGGCAACTGTGTTATATATGTTCAACGTGCAAAAAAACAAAAAAAAAGTTGTTTGTTCTATTTTGGTTGCAAAAAAAATAACTGTTTATAATTAAACGTTAAATCTAATTGTGCATCTGTATATATTTAAATTTTGATAAAAAAACTACAAAATAAACAAAAACATTAAATAACGAGTATAAAAATAGGAAAAACACACAAAAAAAATACAAAAAATACAAAAAAAAACAAAAAAGCATAGGTTAGTATAATTCTGTTATTGTTGTTCTCTATAAGTAATAAGCGTGAATGTTAGCTTTAGTAATAAAATATTCACAAAAACCAAAAAAAAATAAGTACGCGCATTCATGATACCTCCTGAAAACTGTTTACGACTTTTTAAGGTACAAATTAAATTATATTAGCAGTTTATCATACCCATTTAGAAAGTAAATTTCAACGATCTCATCATAGATAAATTACCGATCATTATGATAATTTAACATTTGGACTTCCATTAAAATAACGTAACTTCATATAATATCTAGAAGGTATACCACCACGTTTGACTAGTCTCAGCCATCCGTCTCATGGGTCGTGCGTCTTGCCAAATACCTCAAACAACAAGCTGCTGTCAATGTAAATTCCATATTAATTACAGATATTCACATTAAGGTAAATTAGTGCAATAATTGGGCTATCCCGACTCGTTATACCTCAACATCCCCCTCAGAGTAGTATACGTGTTTGTTGATATTAGGTGTCGTGCAACGGAATGGATTTCGGTTTTGGAATAGGTTTGAAAGTGTTTGCACAACTATTATTTTAAGCAACATATGTAGTTTAATATAAGTATAATGTTGCTTACAATTATACTAAATATGACAGTGACGTGGTACAGTTATTCCAACTGTAGCATGGTAGCAGATGGCTTAATGCTTAAGGTTGCATGACGTTTTGCGGGGTTCGAATAACGGCCATTTTCTATAATCTGTCTATTTGTAGATTTGCTTATTGAGATAGAATTTTGATATAAGCTCCATACAAAATGTGTCAAAATTCTATCCCAGTAAGCAAATCAACAAATAGATAGGTTATAGAAAATGGCCGTAAATGTATCACAAACACATTTACTGTATAGTTGTAGATATTAAGGCAAGTTTCGTGCAACTGAACGGATTTCGGTTATGGAATGAGCTTGAATATGTTTGCACTACTATTATTTTAAGCAACATAGTGTGATACAATTTTGCTTAAAATAATGATAAATATGACGGTGACGTGTTGTAATCAATATAACTGCAATACGGTGGCAGATGGCTGAATGTTTAAGGGTTGCACGATGTTTTGAAGTGAGTATTAATTGATTATGTAGAATAGATCACATACACGTACTTAAATACGTATTTGTTGATATAAGCTGTCGTGCAATAGAACAGATATAAGGTATGAGAAATTTTACTTAAGAAGAATTTGAAAGCGTTTGCACTGCTATTGTTATGAGCAAAATTATTCAATGCAACGCTGCAGTTGGCTTAATCGTTAAGGTAGCAAGATGATTTGTGGGATTTTATAGTGCGTATTAATTTTCTTTAGAACATAACGTAGAATTATAGAATGAAAAAAAAACATAAAAAATAAAAACAAATCATAAAAAAGATGAAAACAACAAAAAAATTTAAAAACAAAAAAAAATAAAGAAAAAAATATAAAAAAGATAAAGACAAAAAAAATAAAAAAAAACAGAAATCACTTAAAAAAATATAAAAACAGTGAAAATAAAAAAAAATACTAATCAAAATCCAACAAAAACGTAAAAAATATGGCTTAAGATAATTTTAAGAATAAACACGTGTAAAATAGCATTGAAACTAAACTGACATCTTTACAAACATCTCGATTACAAAAAACCACTGTGGCATCAGACGTCATATTTGCCGTCATCACCTGAGCCCTCGTTCACATGATATCTTGTTATTTCAAAAATTGTGTGAGAGTTATCATAGTGACGCACAGGCCTATGTTTGAGATATTCTCGGCGTCATGTCTGTAGTTAAGGTTCAAGTCTACTCTTAATTCCCGAGATACACTTACATACGGCTGCCCTAGCAGAGAGCTTGAGCTCTCCCTGAATTTGTGTTTTCAACGAAGTCATAATACCATCCTCGATCTTCAGCGATTGGCATTACCCAATACACAAATTCTTAGCGCAAAGTTTTTCTTGTTTCGCTCAATTTCATTCTGGATTTACGTTGCATTACATGCACGTCGCACATATCGCTTGAACTTCGAAATTCGTCTAGTGAGTATGCCACGTCAATCATCTCGGCTAAATAATACAGCTTTATCCATTCAAACTTTGAAGTTTGTCCCAGTATGGGATCTTAAAGAACTCTGAATCCGATGTTTGGAATATTTTCACTATCCCATCGACCTCGTCCACAGTCTCACGATCAATTAGACACTACTAACACTTACAATTTAGTTTCGATGTTACTTTTAGACGTTGCTTGCAAATTCACCTCATAGTTATAGAAGGATATATTTTTTCAAGACCTTGGAGTTGAGTTGACCATCCGATCAAGAGTGGATGGACTTTTAGATCGTATTTTCGAAGTGGATGCAGTACTTGAAATTCAAATTCAAATTTAAATGGAAAGTTAGAGATAAGTAAACACCTTAGTCAAGCTAGAAGTTGTTTGTAACCTCACCTCATAATATAGGAGTTATGGTTCTATATTGTTTATTTTTTTACTTACTAGAATTGCTAGACTAGCTCAATGTAGTTATCTTAGCCAAGGTTAACAGTCATAATTTACATCTTATTGACTGATCTCACACTTAGTATTAGACGAGAAACGTAAATATATAGAACAGAGACGAAGTTTCTTAAGAACGTCTAAACCTACAGCCCTACACCTGGGTATTTGTTAATTAAATTTAAATCAAGTAGTGAACCCTCCACCTAAATTTGTTACATAATGTAAAGAAAATCACTATTCTTCAAAATGTCTAAGTATTCCCTTGCTAAAAATGACAATTTATATTTAATCGGTGGGAGAGCCATGCTTCGGCACGAATGGGCCGGCTCGACCGGAGTGATACCACGGCCTCACAGAAAACCTACGTGAAGCAACGCTTGCGTTGTGTTTCGTCGTGTGAGTGAGGTTACCGGAGGCCCAATTACCTTCCCCTTCCCCAATCTCCCCAATCCCTGAATCTCCAACGATCCTCAAACTCCTAATCCCCAAAAAGGTCCAGGTGTCCATGGGCGACGCCGATTGCTTACCATCAGGTGATCGGTATGCTCGTTTACCGGCTTATGCCAAAAAAAAAATTAAACATATTAGTTGCTTGCTAAAATTGACAAATATTCGTGGAGCTCTTAATTAATTTATAAAGAGATAAAATAAAAATGAAATTGTACGTTACCAATAATGAATTAGCCAGCATTATTGGTAACGTACAATTTCATTTAGTAATGTAAAAAGTGATATATAATAAGTACATAATTATATAATTATAATATTGTAGTGATATTATAATTATATAATTATAATACCACTTTTTACATTACATTATTCAAAATTGTAAGTAAACAAATGATCAATAACGTACGTCGCTATGATTACTTGTATAGAACCTCTCTGGCTATAAAACTGATCCCTTTTCAACTAACTGTGACAGCCACTGATTACGTACTGTATGTATCCCTAATAATCTCTGTTCTATATATGTACTCATGTGTGTTAGAATTTAGGCTTTAGACTGACACACCGCATTTTAACATTATACTGAATGCTATAGTCATACAGAATGCTGTTAATATGCAGTCCGTCTGTCTGGAGCCTATGATAAATTATTATTTGTAACCAACATTACTGATAGATGAGTAGTCAACGCTAGCTTGCAACCTCACCTCATAGAATAGCAGTTATGGTTCTAGAAGGTTTATTTTTGTAATATACTAGACTTGCTAGACTACCTCAATGTCAAAGCAATCTATTTCAGTCGAAGTCGTCATGAATGTGGCATTAGAAAACTAATAAAACTAATTCTAAATTCGATGTTAAATAGATGAATCAACACAATTAGTCAAAGCTAGCTACAATTCACCTCATAGTATAGGAGTTACAATTCTAGAGGGTTTATTTTTATAACTTGCGAAAAATTGTTAGTGTTAATCTGTTTCGATGATTAATATCTAGGTATTTAATATAAGGTGCCGTAAATTATTTATTTGAAAAAATAAGCAACCATACAATAGTTTAACTGAAAGTATTTAATAGATATACAAAAAGGCTCCAGTTTGTTCGTTCGTTCTTTACAGTTCAATACCACATCTCAAAATCTCAACTCGAAATAATTTTAGACCCAGGTTTGCATTCATTTATAAGTGAAAAATTTCTAAAGTTAAATTGATCTCCATAGGAATATCGAAAAATAAATATCACGAAAATTATACTTGTTGATGATTTAAAAAATGTTTCTTTGCAAAAATGTCTCATTCCATCTATTTAACCATATATTCCAATATCGTGGTGGCCCAGTAGTTTAAGACACTCGTTTTTTATGCATGAGGGTTCGAGACCTACCAACGGCAAGTACTAAGTTGACTTTTTTCAAGTTATATGAACTTTCTAAGATCATCCAGACACCACTGACAACCGGTGAAGGAAAACATTGTTAGGAAACCTAGGCCTATACTTTCTAATTATAAGATTGATATCGCCAACCCGCATTGAGCAAGCTGGCTGATTAATGCTCAAACATTCTCCGGGCGAGGAAAGGCCGTTGGGTACGTAGAGGCCATATTCATGTAAAAGATCTATGCTTCAACACAAGCAGGCCGGCTCGACCGGAGTGATAAGCCAACGTCACAATATTGTAAATCTTTATCCCTTTTCAAATCAAAGTGTTAAAGTTGTTGTCTTTTTGTATGTCTATGATTAACATGGATGAACGTACAAACAAATCTTTTTAAGTATAAGTTTATACAATATATGTTATAGATCAAGTGATTTGTGTGGTAATTTATAGGTAGAAAATGTGAATACTTTTAGTAAAATATACATACATAATTGCCTTACGTTGTCCTCTAATTGGTAATTTCTTGTAGAATGGCACCTCGCAGGCGGTCCAACAAGAGGACATGTTTTTTCCAGCATTGTGACCCTCGGTCTAACTAAAAATCAAAAACTCTTAAATACATCACTTTGAACACCTTTGATATATAATGTGCCACCCAGTGGGAGTCATGCTCATGCATCTAGGTACTGTTTACAGTTCTAAAGTTAGTGAGTTTAAGTGATAACCACATATTTGTAATTATGCCATCATCAAATACTTAGCTTCAATAAAAAATATTATTAAATTTATTTTGTAGAATGATTTGAATGATAACGTATATAATAACAAAATAACTATTTAACTCAGTTCGTTGTTCATTGAATATACATTCACGGACTTCTATTATAACTGTAAAAAATCCAACAATCGCTTTACAATATTGCACTGTGATAAATAATGAACTTATATTATTATTTTAGTTGATTTACATGACGATTCGGCTAATTACTTGATCTATAACATGTTTTTGGTTATGTACAAAATGCAATATTAAATTCTAAAAACATACTAAAATTCGTATGATAGACATTCACGCTCATTACAATAGAGGTAGATAGAAAATTTAGATAGATGTTAAATATTCGTAACAAAGAGAATATATTTTTATAAATATCGCCGATATAACACACTCATAATAGATAATGCTATACAAGAGAATACTACGAGCAACATTATATGCATAAAGTGGTAAGGCTAGACGTTAGCAACAGGAAATGGGAAGCGATAAGATATCGATAAACATGGCAAAAGCAGGAGAGAGGTCACTTTTTAAAATTAGGATGAAATATAAGGGTGCGGGCAAATTATTATGGCAGATAGATGGACGCACAGACAAACGCCCGATTGGAAAGAAACAGGCCATAGCTATAATATAATGGACCCCGAACCTTTAGTTATAATCGGAAAGGAATAACACTTAAAATTATTATGTTTTAGGGGAATCCAAAGACCTTTCTCTCTCATAACAAGGAAACCGAGGGAACGAAAGATCATCCATTCCAAAATACACAGATGCACTCGTTGATAACCAAAACGCTCTACCTTACCTAGTAATTATTAATTAAAAATACTTACCATTCACGTTAATAAAAGACTAATTTATATCGCTACTCGAAATTATTATAAACATTCACAACACTTAGATCGACTATTTATACCATTCACAGTTTAAAATGATTGCACAGCAGAAACAATAAATATTTTTACCACATGCTTCAAAGGATGTGTCTATCAGATCAAGATTTTGTGTAATTAACCGACAGATTCCTGGCTTTATATTTTATAATAACTACCAAAAATGCACATATTTTTTGCATATTAAATCATCGTGTTTCATTCGATTCGACGCTCACCTGATTAACGACATAGGAAATGATCAATAACTAGCGGAATCACAACATCTATGTTTCAGAGATTACGTTTACTATTATTACTTGCA